ATAACTCGGCCAAAAATGCAATAATCGAAGCTGCTGTTGATGCTGATCAAGAATATATATGATTTATGTGGTCGGAAATAACTCCTTCACTACCTTTGAAGCTCCTGACTAAAGGTTTAATACCTGTTTTAGTCTATACTTATGTATATTTTTATACGATAATTTATACTACAAATCAATGCTTAAAAAGCTCATAACTTGGCCAGAAATGCATTAAATTCAAATCGGAAAGCGTTTTACTGCTAGTGTTTATTAGGTTAACAAATTTGCATACTCAATTTCCAATTCTATAAATTGAAATTTTAGGCCAATTTTTGACAATTTTAATGATGTAACCCCTTATCGTTTTTTCAATTTTTGGCCAAATTTGGAAAATTTTATTTTTCCTCCGGACATGGCTTAATCGATGCTGCTGTTGATGTTGATCAAGAGTATATATGATTTATGTGGTCGGAAATAACTCCTTCACCACTTTTGAAGCTCCTGACTAAAGGTTTAATACCAGTTTTAGTCTATACTTATGTATATTTTTATACGACAATTTATTAAACAAATCAATGCTAAAAAATCTCATAACTTGGCCAAAAATGCATTAAATTCAAATCGGAAAGCGTTTTACTGCTAGTGTTTATTAGGTTAACAAATTTGCATACTCAATTTCCAATTCTAGAAATTGAAATTTTAGGCCAATTTTGACAATTTTAATGATGTAACCCCTTATCGTTTTTTCAATTTTTGGCCAAATTTGGAAAATTTTATTTTTCCTCCGGACATGGCTTAATCGATGCTGCTGTTGATGCTGATCAAGAATATATATGATTTATGGGGTCGGAAATGATTCCTTCACCACTTTTGAAGCTTCTGACTAAATATTTAATACCAGTTTTAGTCTATATTTATGTATTTTTTATAACACAATTTATTAAACAAATCAATGCTTAAAAATCTCATAACTTGGCCAGAAATGCATTAAATTCAAATCGGAAAGCGTTTTACTGCTAGTGTTTATTAGGTTAACAAATTTGCATACTCAATTTCCAATTCTAGAAATTGAAATTTTAGGCCAATTTTTGACAATTTTAATGATGTAACCCCTTATCGTTTTTTCAATTTTTGGCCAAATTTGGAAAACTTTATTTTTCCTCGGGACATGGCTTAATCGATACTGCTGTTGATGCTGATCAAGAATATATATGATTTATGGGGTCGGAAATGATTCCTTCACCACTTTAGAAGGTCCTGACTATAGGTTAAATACCAGTTTTAGTCTATATTTATGTATATTTTTATATTACAATTTATTTTACAAATCAATGCTTAAAAATCTCATAACTCGGCCAAAATGCAATAATCGAAGCTGCTGTTGATGCTGATCAAGAATATATATGATTTATGTGGTCGGAAATAACTCCTTCACTACCTTTGAAGCTCCTGACTAAAGGTTTAATACCAGTTTTAGTCTATATTTATGTATATTTTTATATCACAATTTATTAAACAAATCAATGCTTAAAAATCGCATAACTTGGCCAGAAATGCATTAAATTCAAATCGGAAAGCGTTTTACTGCTAGTGTTTATTAGGTTAACAAATTTGCATACTCAATTTCCAATTCTAGAAATTGAAATTTTAGGCCAATTTTTGACAATTTTAATGATGTAACCCCTTATCGTTTTTTAAATTTTTGGCCAAATTTGGAACATTTTATTTTTCCTCCGGACATGGCTTAATCGATGCTGCTGTTGATGCTGATCAAGAATATATATGATTTATGGGGTCGGAAATGATTCCTTCACCACTTTAGAAGGTCCTGACAATAGGTTAAATACCAGTTTTAGTCTATATTTATGTATATTTTTATATTACAATTTATTTTACAAATCAATGCTTAAAAATCTCATAACTCGGCCAAAAATGCAATAATCGAAGCTGCTGTTGATGCTGATCAAGAATATATATGATTTATGTGGTCGGAAATAACTCCTTCACTACCTTTGAAGCTCCTGACTAAAGGTTTAATACCAGTTTTAGTCTATACTTATGTATATTTTTATACGACAATTTATACTACAAATCAATGCTAAAAAATCTTATAACTTGGCCAAAAATGCATTAAATTCAGATGGAAAAGCGTTTTACTGCTAGTGTTTATTAGGTTAACAAATTTGTATACTCAATTTCCAATTCTAGAAATTGAAATTTTAGGCCAATTTTTGACAATTTTAATGATGTAACCCCTTATCGTTTTTTCAATTTTTGGCCAAATTTGGAAAATTTTATTTTTCCTCCGGACATGGCTTAATCGATGCTGCTGTTGATGCTGATCAAGAATATATATGATTTAAGGGGTCGGAAATGATTCCTTCACCACTTTTGAAGCTTCTGACTAAATATTTAATACCAGTTTTAGTCTATATTTATGTATATTTTTATATTACAATTTATTTTACAAATCAATGCTTAAAAATCTCATAACTCGGCCGAAAATGTAATAATCGATGCTGCTGTTGATGCTGATCAAGAATATATATGATTTATGTGGTCGGAAATAACTCCTTCACTACCTTTGAAGCTCCTGACTAAAGGTTTAATACCTGTTTTAGTCTATACTTATGTATATTTTTATACGACAATTTATACTACAAATCAATGCTTAAAAATCTCATAACTTGGTCAGAAATGCATTAAATTCAAATCGGAAAGCGTTTTACTGCTAGTGTTTATTAGGTTAACAAATTTGCATACTCAATTTCCAATTCTAGAAATTGAAATTTTAGGCCAATTTTTGACAATTTTAATGATGTAACCCCTTATCGTTTTTTCAATTTTTGGCCAAATTTTGAAAATTTTATTTTTCCTCCGGACATGGCTTAATCGATGCTGCTGTTGATGCTGATCAAGAATATATATGATTTATGTGGTCGGAAATAACTCCTTCACTACCTTTGAAGCTCCTGACTAAAGGTTTAATACCAGTTTTAGTCTATACTTATGTATATTTCTATATCACAATTTTTTAAACAAATCAATGCTTAAAAATCTCATAACTTGGCCAGAAATGCATTAAATTCAAATCGGAAAGCGTTTTACTGCTAGTGTTTATTAGGTTAACAAATTTGCATACTCAAGTTCCAATTATAGAAATTGAAATTTTAGGCCAATTTTTGACAATTTTAATGATGTAACCCCTTATCGTTTTTTCAATTTCTGGCCAAATTTGGAAAATTTTATTTTTCCTCCGGACATGGCTTAATCGATGCTGCTGTTGATGCTGATCAAGAATATATATGATTTATGGGGTCGGAAATAACTCCTTCACTACCTTTGAAGCTCCTGACTAAAGGTTTAAAACCAGTTTTAGTCTATATTTATATTATATTATCATATTTATTATTATATTTATGTATGTTTTTATAACACATTTTATTAAACAAATCAATGCATAAAAATCTCATAACTCGGCCAGAAATGCATTAAATTCAAATCGGAAAGCGTTTTACTGCTGGTGTTTATTAGGTTAACAAATTTGCATACTCAATTTCCAATTATAGAAATTGGAATTTTAGGCCAATTTTTGACAATTTTAATGATGTAACCCCTTATCGTTTTTTCAATTTTTGGCCAAATTTGGAAAATTTTATTTTTCCTCCGGACATGGCTTAATCGATGCTGCTGTTGATGCTGATCAAGAATATATATGATTTATGGGGTCGGAAATAACTCCTTCACTACCTTTGAAGCTCCTGACTAAAGGTTTAATACCAGTTTTAGTCTATATTTATGTATATTTTTATATTACAATTTATTTTACAAATTAATGCTTAAAAATCTCATAACTCGGCCAAAAATGCAATAATCGACGCTGCTGTTGATGCTGATCAAGAATATATATGATTTATGGGGTCGGAAATGATTCCTTCACCACTTTTGAAGCCCTGACTAAAGGTTTAATTCCAGTTTTAGTCTATATTTATGTATAGTTTTATATCACAATTTATTAAACAAATCAATGCTTAAAAATCTCATAAATTTTAGGCCAATTTTTGACAATTTTAATGATGTAACCCCTTATCGTTTTTTCAATTTTCGACGCTGCTGTTGATGCTGATCAAGAATATATATGATTTATGTGGTCGGAAATAACTCCTTCACTACCTTTGAAGCTCCTGACTAAAGGTTTAATACCTGTTTTAGTCTATACTTATGTATATTTTTATATCACATTTTATTAAACAAATCAATGCTTAAAAATCTCATAACTCGGCCAAAAATGCAATAATCGACGCTGCTGTTGATGCTGATCAAGAATATATATGATTTATGGGGTCGGAAATGATTCCTTCACCACTTTTGAAGCTCCTGACTAAAGGTTTAATACCAGTTTTAGTCTATATTTATGTATATTTTTATATTACAATTTATTTTACAAATTAATGCTTAAAAATCTCATAACTCGGCCAAAAATGCAATAATCGACGCTGCTGTTGATGCTGATCAAGAATATATATGATTTATGGGGTCGGAAATGATTCCTTCACCACTTTTGAAGCCCTGACTAAAGTTTTAATTCCAGTTTTAGTCTATACTTATGTATATTTTTATACGACAATTTATACTACAAATCAATGCTTAAAAATCTCATAACTTGGCCAAAAATGCATTAAATTCAAATCGGAAAGCGATTTACTGCTAGTGTTTATTAGGTTAACAAATTTGCATACTAAATTTCCAATTCTAGAAATTTTAGGCCAATTTTTGACAATTTTAATGATGTAACCCCTTATCGTTTTTTCAAATTTTGGCCAAATTTGGAAAATTGTATTTGTCCTCTAGACATGGCTTAATGGACGCTGCTGTTGATGCTGATCAAGAATATATATGATTTATGGGGTCGGAAATGACTCCTTCACTACTTTTGAAGCTTCTGACTGAAATTATATTATCCAGCAAGGAAATAAAAATACAACTCATGGGGAATATACATTTCAATAAAAAGCGTTGTATTTATTTATTAGATTACAAAGAAAAGCTTGCATATAAATTATGATAAGGTATGGAAACACAAGAGCTGTTCTTAAAAGACATATCAAATAAATAAGATCTAAATTAAAATTTATTTATTTATTTTTAAAATTAAATACTTAGGCTACAACTATATTTAGAGATTATATAAATCTAATTGATGTTCGTATTCGTTCGGATTACGGCGCGCATTGCTAAGGCTCAAGTGACCGAAAGTCCTGGACGGGATCCCCGTTAAGTGTCGTCCTTCACCAGCGCGGCAGCTGGCGGTGGTTAAAAAAAATAGTTTACAAAGGTAACTTCTATATAGATGCTCCGATCCGATCGGTCCGGTTTTCGGTCAGTCGAGCAGTAGCCGTCGCCGACAGACAGTGTGTGGTGTGCGTTCCGTATTTAGTGTTTCCGTTGTTTCAGTTGATCTAAAAATTCTATGTAGACTACGGTTCTGTCCCCCTACGCGGAGGCACCTGTCACCAGGTGATGGTGCAGGTGCCAATGCCGCAGGAGGGTGTCGAAGTACAAATTCAATCCGTTAAAACTATGCAATTCGCGGTTTCGTTTTGTAAAATTGCTATAAAAACTAGTTCGTTCGTTTCTCCACTCTACACGTACACGTAAACGTATTGTATATAAAAGTATAAAAGCTTGGAATAGTTCATATAGAAGATACAGTTTCTCAACTCAACTCAATTCAACTGGGCCGATCGACCGCCATATGCCATATACATATGTATGTTATATATAATAGATCGATCGATCGGGTTGTGCGCGTGTTACAGTCGGAGGATTCCGTTGCTCTTGCAACAAAAGAAGACTAGAAGCAACAATTATACACAAAAATAATAATGTTTTGTAAAAATAAGGTGACTAAAATACTATAAAAGCGCATTTGGAGAAGAGTGAGCCGCCGGACTGATACGGATACGGATACGGATTCGGATACGGACTGGGACAAAGGAATAGAATTGTGTCCAGTCCGGTCCGGTCCGGCGGCCGAAAGCCGTGGCTTCGTAACGCCATTGATTGCGTGTGTCCCGGTTCCGGAATATATCAATAGCTTTTCGTGTGCTGAGAGTCTCCTGAAAGCGATTGTGTATGGCGGCGGGCGGGCGGTCACAATGAACGACCTTACAAGGCACGCGCTGTACTGTACTGGTCACTGGTCACTGGTCACCACCACTCTCCACTCTCTCCACATCCATTGTGACAAATAAGTAATCCTTTAAGTGAGCGCGTCTAAATTAATTGCACCTATACTATGTATACAGTACAATATCACTGGTTGCTTCGTCACCGTAACCTAATCCGAAACAAGTGGGCGTAATCCAATTGAAAGAGTGCGAATGTCGGCAAAACCCAAATTAACACTATTGCATTCTGATAATTGCAGGTGGTTCCTGGTACGTTTCCTATTTCTTGCTTTTGTGGCACCTATTTCGAGTCTGATTTCCGGTTCCGGTTACTGATCTGGGAGGCGGGCAGGGGTCTCTAGTGGTTGTCGTTCCTATTACTATTGCTAGTTGGCGAGTGGTGCAATCTGGGCTGGTTGGTTCGTCGGTTCGTGATTGTTGTCTGCAGTGCTTAAGAATTAGTTAAATTATATTTAGTGAGCATGGCTGGTGGTTCATCTCTTGCGTCCCGACACCACGGCGGCCATCACCTGTTGCATGGTGGGCTCGGGCACACATTGCTGGGGATCGCACTTCATCTTGCCGTCGCCGCCGCAACTGGAATGGGATCAGTATGGTCATTAATTGGAAATTTAAGAAAATTTTGTGAAAAAACTTACGTGCAGCTAATGCAGGGTCCGCTCGTGGACTCGATCTGCTCGCCGACGCGGTAGGATCGGCCGCTAATCAGGCAGCCGGTATGCTTCACCGCCTCGCCGTGCGAGTAGTGGAGGAAGTGGGGCGGCAGGGTGGTGCTGGTGGTTGTGGTGCTCGTGGTGATGTTCAGCACGGCGGCCATAGACACGGGGCACTCGTAGCGCGGGCAGCAGAAGCCGGAAATGGGCTCCTCGTGGCAGCCGGCGATTGGTGGCGGGCAGGATTGCTGCAGGCAGATGATGTCGCTTCGGAAGCAGAAGCAGAAGTCGCAGGGATCGTCGCGTGGTATCTGCTGGGCGGACACGTACAGTTTGCCGGCATAACGGCAGGTACCAGGTCCGAACACCTCCTCCTCGTCGTACTCATCCTCGTACTCGGGACCGTGAGCATAGGGAGGAGGCGTGATGATGCTAGCTTCTGTCGACGATGGAGCCGTGACTGGAGCCTCGGTGCTTGTGCTTGTGCTGGCGCGGGTTGTGGTGCTCTCTTCATCCTCCTCTCCGAAGCGGTCATCAATGCCGGGCGCCTTGGTGGAACTGCTGGGCAGGTGGGCGAAGAGTGGGTGCACTGTGGTGGGCTCGGCATCCTGGACACCAGGAGTAGCCGTCGACGCCGGAATCTCGGACACCACGGCGGGCACTTCGGGTTCGTCCTCAGTCTCCTTGCTCTCATCCTCCTTGTCAGCTGCTTCTGTGACTGGAGCGTGCTCCTCCTCGGACTCCACGGACTCCTCTCCCTCCTCGGTGGAGTCCAAGCTGGGCTTCACGACTGGTTCGGGAGTGGTCTTCACATCAACCGGTTGAGGCTGCTCCGTGGACATATCCTTTTCGGGCACATCCTTCTCAAGCTCAGGAGCTGCGGTTTCTGGGACAATCTCTGCCTCGGTGACTGGGGATTCCGATGGCAGAGATGGAGCTGGAGTGGGTGGCTTCAGCTTGGCACCAGCTGGTGTCTTGTCGGTAGTATCCTCAGCATCGTCGACAGCAGGTTCGGTGCTCTCCTCGCCGACATCCTCGAATGCAGGCGGTGGCTTGGTGTTGGGCTCAAAATCAGGAACAACTGGACCAATTGGAGACGGAGTCGTGTCGCCATCTTGGGTAGTACCAGTGACTGGGCTTCCATCCTGGGAAGATGCGGTAGTTGGAGTCTTTTCATCATCCTGAGGAGTATCTGTAGATGGAGTCTTTTCATCATCCAGAGGAGTCTTATCATCAACCTGAGGAGTCCTTTGGCCATCAAGAGGCACCAATGTGGCTGGGATCTCATCGGCATCTTGAGGAGATACTGTGACTGGGGTCTTATCAGCGTCCTGAGGAGCTTCAGAGGCCGTAGTCTTTTCAGCATCCTGAGGAGACACGGTAACTGGAGTCTGGTCAGCATCCTGAGGAGACACAGTAATTGGAGTCTTGTCAGCATCTTGGGGAGCTTCAGAGGCTGGAGTCTTCTCAGCATCCTGAGGAGCTGCAGTAACCGACGCCTGGTCAGCGTCTTCAGTAGATTCGACGTCAGCGCCATGGGGAGCAACGGTCTGCGACATAACACCATCCATGGGCTTGGTATCGATTTCCTCGGCAGAAGGAAGATCCACAGAAGCAGCAGTAGAATCAGCTTCCGGCGTTGCGGGAACAATTGGGGATTCGGTTCTGTCTTGTTCCTTCTCCTCCTGAGAGGCGGGGGTATCGGTGGCCACATCAATGGGTGTCTTGGAGTCATCCTGAGCCACTGGTGGAACGGTGGTGGCATCCTTGGTTTCATCTTGTTGAACGGACGGCACAGAGGGGCTGGCAGCAGTGGTGCTCTCTGTCTCAGCCGTCTCAGTGGAAATGCTAGATTCGTCCTTAGCTGGAGTGGCTGTGGAGCCCGCGATGGGTCCAGCAGTTGCAGATATGGCGTCATCGCTGGGCTCCTTGTCGGCCTCCTCGGTGCTAGGCTTAATGGTGACTTCATCTTCCTGATCATCCAATGCGGGCGCCTCGCTGGTCTTGGGTGCATCAGTGGGATTGATCTCCTCCTCCTCCTCCTCTTGGGATGAGGCTTCAGTAGAGGCTTCGGTGGAGGCATCCTCATCCTTTTCGGTATCTCCGCCAGCGACTGGTGCGGAAGTGGTCGGAAGTGGCACTGAAGTTTCAGATTCAGGCTTCTCTTCAGCCTCCTTGTCGTCCTCGGGCATCTTGTCATCAAATTGTGGTACCTTCTCGGTCGAGATTGGTTCGGTTTTCTTGGTCTCATCATCTTCGGTTGCCTGTGGAGAGGCAGTCGTGACTTCGGGACTCTCGTCCTCCTCGCCGGAAGTGGAGGGAATCTTGTCGTCAGACGGGGCGGCAGCCGGAGCAATGGTGGTGGCCTTGTCGGCATCCTCATCTGGCAGTTCGGTGGAAGCGTCTGGAATCTTCTCAATTGGCGCCTGGGCAGTGGATGAGGGTTGCTTATCCTCGGGCTGTTCATCAGCATGAGATTCAGTAGATGACACCACTTCGTCGGAGGCTTCTGTAGATCCCTCCACGGGGGTTTCAGTCTCGGCCTCAGGAGTGGCAATCTTGGATGGTGCCTCAGTGGGTTTCTCGGATGCCTCGGATGGCTCTTCTCCATCAGTTGGTGTTTCCTCCTTAGTTGGCGCCTCTCCTTCAGTTGGCGTCTCAGAGATCGCAGTGGCTGTGGTGGCTTCCTCATCGACTTCAGCAGATGGGCTTGATGAATCTGCAGGTTCCTTTTGACCCTCGCTGGGAACAGTTGTGTCTGCTGCAATTCCAGCCTCAGTGGATGTGGAATGTGGAATCTCACCAAGAATGTCCCCAGGCAGTTCCGGAACAGCAGGTTTCTCATCGGCGGCAATCGGAGAGGTGGTTGTACCAGCCGGCTCCAGTTCCTCTTCGGGAGTCTTGGCAGGAGTCTCAGGCTCCTCTTCTTCGGCCTGGGATGGCATCTTCTCTGTCGACGGTTCCTTATCCTCTTCTGGAATTTCTGTAGAGGCTGCGATGCCGGTGTCCTTCTCTACATCTTCGTCAGGCTTGGCAGCAGCAGGAGCAGAAGTGGCAGCGGGTTCCTCATCAGGAGTGATACTGCTCGAGGGAATCTTCTCAACAGGAGCAACTGTTGTGGGCACTTCGGATTCTGGGGACTCCTTGTGCTCATCAGAGGCAGGTGCTGCAGTGGACTGCTCGTCAGACTCTTCCTTAGCCGGAGCAGCAGTGGTTGCGCGATCAGATTCAGGCTCGATTTCATTCTCAGCAGAAGCAGATGTAGAAGTCTCATCCTCGTCGGGTTTCTCTTCACCTTGATCTGTTGTGGAAGCAGCAGTGACTGCAGGCTGTTCCTCATCAAAGATATCCTGGGGAAGCTTGGGCAGCTTCGTTTCATCATCGCCAGCCGATGGGGCAACTGTAGTTGGCTTCTCTTCGGCCTCAACGGTCTTTTCAGTGCTCGGAATCTTGTCTTCATCAGAAGGAACAGGTTGAGCCACAGGAGTGGCAGGAGTAGCCTCGACATCTTCTTCAATCTCATTGTCAGACACAGCGGGTGTGGCTGTTTCAGCAGATGTATCCTTTTCAGCTGCAACGCTCGGCTCAGTGGCCACTTCAGTGGAGCTTTCTTCCTCAGGCAGCTGAGTGGGTGCAAGAGTGGGCAATGGTACAATGGGACCATGCACGGCAGGCTTCTCGGTGCTAATTTCTTCCTCGCCTTCAATGGGCACAGAGGTGACAGGAACGATTTCCTCCTCATCGGACGGTTCCTTCTCATCGGAATCCTTGGCGGGAGCAGCAGTTGTGATTTCGTCAATATGATCGGCAGGTGGGGAACGGGCCGGAATGACGGGCATTTTGTCGGTGACTGAAGTAGGTTCCTCCTCTTCTGGTTTGGCATCAATGTCAGTTGTTGGCAGTACAGTCGAGGACTCGGGAGTCTCCTTCTCGGGTGTAGCGGTGACGGCAGGAGTCTCATCCTCGGGCTTGGCGGTGACGGAAGGAATCTTATCCTCAGGCTCTTCTTCAGTGGGCTTCTCTTCTCCAGTTGTTTCACTTGGAATAGGAGCAGCTGTGGTATCCTTTTCAGCATCTTCGGAGACCTGTCCGGGTGTGGAAGCCTCTTCTTCAACTGGTTTCTTGGTACTTGGTTCTTCAGAAGTGATTTCATCTTCTGCCTTCTTCTCGTCCTCTGGCTTGGATTCCTCTCCGCTCGGTTTCTGGGTCTCGATTTCGATCTCGGGAACAGCCGTGACAGCCGGAGTAGATTGATCCTTCTCTTTCTCCTCATCGGACTCCTCGATTGGCTTCTTCTCCTCATCGGACTCCTCGATTGGTTTCTTCTCCTCGTCGGACTCCTCAATTGGTTTCTTCTCCTCATCGGACTCCTCAATTGGCTTCTTATCAACCTTGGCGGCAGTCGTAGATGCTTCAGTGGTCACGGCAGGGCTCTCTTCATCGGGCTTGAAATGAGAAAGAGGCTGCTCAGTAATACCAGTTGGCATGATGACATCCTTAGGAATCTCCTCAGTGCTGATCTCGGAGACATCCTCGTCGATCTTGTCGTCGGGCTTGGCCGTGGAGTCCTGCTCCTTCTCAGCGCTCTCAGTGCTCTCATCGCAGATGTAAGTGGGACAGCAGCCATCCAGAAGATCGGCAGCCAGGACACACTTTTCGCGGTCCTCGGGCAGCTTGCACTCCATCTGTTGGCAGGCAACCAGGCTGCTGACACATCGGCAGGACACGTCGCAGGGAGCGGTGGCGGGAACAATACTGTTGTTGGCATAGGTCTTGCCCTCCACCAGGCAATCGCCTTCTCCAGGAATGGCAGCGGGCAGATCCATGGCTGGCATGGCCTCGGAGGCGATGCTTTGATCCTCGGTACTGGGTTGCTCGGTGGCCTTCTCCGTTGCAAAGTCGTGGCGGGTGTCGACTGCAGCAGTGCTGGATGAAATATCCTGGGGCGCTGGCGTAGTCTCCACTGGCTTGGCTGTCTCCTCTTGGGCAGAAGGTTCCGTGGCAGCCTCGTCGGTCTCAGCAGTATCCTTTTCTCCGGCGGGTGGCAGGTAAACCGAGGATGGCTTATCTGTGGACACTTCCTCCTCTTGCTCAGGCTGAGTAGTCGTGGGTTCGGGCTGGATAAAAGCTGGTGCCATGTCGGATTTGGCCGGCGCTTCGGTGCTAGTCTGCTCATCCTCCTTATCGACAGGCTTAACTTCTGGCTCCTGCTCCTGCTTATCGACTGGGGTGCTGGTGGCAGTCTCGCCTTCAGCTTCCTCGGATTCGGTGGAGGACTCCGCATCAGTCTTTTCCGTCGTTGTGATCTTGGCAGTCGTGCTCTTGACAGCATCGTCAACTGGCAGATCCGTGGCATCCTGTTCAATCTCATCATCGGGAGTGGGTTCTGTGGAGCCGGCCTCTTCCTTGTCGCCAGCTCGTGCGGGTGCGCTGGTGGAACTTTCGATCTCATCCTCCTGAGCGCCCTGGGTGGAGGATGCAATAGCTGGGGCACTTGTTGAACTCTCCACAGCTTCCTCGGGCAGCTCGGTAGATTCCTCGGCAACAGCGGGCTGTTCTCCCAAGGTTTTTGGAGTGCTGCTCTTAATGATCTCATCTTCACCACTGACATCCGTAGTGGGAGCTGTTGTTCCGGCCACTTCTTCATCGTCGGATGTTTTGTCTGCAGGAGTGGTACCCTTAACAATTTCTTCGTCATCGGAGGCGCCGGCAGCTGGAGTTGTGGGCTTAGCCATGTCCTCGACTTCACCAGCAGGAGTATCCGTTGCAGTATCAGGCTCCTTTTCAGCTCCGGTCTCCAATTTGGGTGCTGAAGTGGTGGTCTTAACAACCTCCTCATCGGCTTCGCTGCTGGCTGCTCCGGCGGGAGTGGTTCCCTTAATGATTTCTTCCTCGGCTTCGCTGCTGGTTTCTCCAGCGGGAGTGGTGCCCTTGACGATCTCTTCCTCGGCTTCGCTGCTGGCTTCTCCGGCGGGAGTGGTTTCCTTGGTGGTCTCTTCCTCGGCTTCGCTGCTGGTTTCTCCGGCGGAAGTGGTTTCCTTGGTGGTCTCTTCCTCGGCGTCGCTGCTAACCTCACCTGCGGGAGTAGTTTCCTTGACAGTTTCCTCTTCGGCGTCGCTGCTGGCTTCTCCGGAGGGAGTAGTTCCCTTGACGATCTCCTCCTCGCCCTCGCCGCTTGCTTCCTCTGCAGATTCCGTGGGCTTAGCTTGTTCATCCTCATCAATGGCTGATGGAGCCTTAGTGGTCTTGGGCTCCTCTCCCTTCTCGCTTTTCTCGGGAGCTGGAGTGGGCTTGCCTTCCTCTTCGTCCATAGGCGCAGGAGCAGTTGTGGGCTTGACTTCCTTCTCCTCGTCACCGCTTCCCTCTGGAGCAGATGTGGGCTTGGACTCCACATCCTTCTCATCGCTTGCCACTGTAGCAGAAGTGGGTTTGGCTGCATCTTCATCCTGAGAGGCCTCTGGAGCTGGTGTAGGCTTGACATCTTCCTCCCCTTCACCGCTTCCTTCCTCAGCAGGCGTAGGCTTGCCCTCCTCCTCATCGCCGCTGACTTCTCCAGATGGCGTGGTCTTAATGTCCTCCTCCTTCTCCTCCTCTTCGGTGGGAGTAGAGGTGCTGGAATCTTCGGGCGTGGCCTTGGCAGGAGCAGAGGTGCTGACCGTGATAAGTTCATCTTCGGTAATATCCTTCTCCGGAGTCTTGGACACATCCTCTTCGCCGCTTCCCTGGGGATGTGGCGTGGTGATGACCTTGATAGTCTCCTCCTCCTCGGCGGATTCGGTGGATGATTCCTTTGTATCCTCGGTGGAGGATGGCACATCGATTCTAGAATCGGAGGCAATACCGGCCGTGGAGGACTCGGGCTCGAAGGAGAAGTCCTTCTCGTCCGTGACATGCACTGGAGTAATTGTGGTGGCCTTCTCCTTCTCCTTCTCTTCCTCTTCATCCTCAACCTCGCCACTGCCCTCAGCTGTGGGAATATCGGTAACCGTATCCTTATCCTTCTCTTCGTCATCGATGTGTTCCTGCAGATCCACATCCTCCTTGGGAATCGAAGCATGAATGCCCTTGGTGGGTTCCGTTGACGCACTCATCTCAGTGTTGATCTCTACAATTTCAGTGGTGGCACTATCGTCCTCGCAGATGTAATTGTTCGGGCAACACTGACCCTCGGCCGCGGGCATAGCCTTGCAGGACTTTCCATTGGCCGCCATCATGGGCACCTCGCACTCCTGGACGGCACAAACGATGTCACCACGCATACAGTAGCAGTGCTCGCAGGCATTCTTGCCCTGCAGGGAGGCTCCATCGGCATAGATCTCACCATCGTGGACGCAGTCAGTGGACACTGGCGGCACCATAGTGCTGGGCAGGATGAAGCCAGTGGTGGGACGCTCAGTGGTGGTCGTAGTGGTGGTCGATTGATCCACAAAGTCCAGTTCGTTCTCGTGGTCTGAAAGGGTAGATTTATATATAGTATCTCTCAGGGATTCCCTTGCCTTCTGTACTTACCACAACTATAGCGAACCGGACAGCAGGATCCCTTGTTGTAGATGGGCAGGCAGCCGTCCACGTGGAGGGTGCACTCCTGCATGACGCACTTGGTCTGGTTGTTAATGCAATAGCACAGTTCGCAAGGCTTATTGGGGTTCGATGGCACCTGAGCGCCCTCCGGGTAGAACTTCTCCTCGATGCTGCAGCCAAACTTCTCGGGAATGGTCAGCTCAGTGCCTGGCTCCGGGGAATGATAGGGCACATCCACGGGCACTAAAACGGGATAGTTTTGGTTACTAAACGAACAGAAATATCATCTCAGCAAAGACAACTCACCTTCTGGGCAGGTGATGATGGGACAGCACTGATCCTCCCGCTTCTCCACGATGCAGTCGTGGCCAATGGGCTTGGTGAAGGGGCAAACGCGCAGGTAACACATCAGCATGCGATTGTGGCAGGTGCAGTTCAGGCACGGCTCATTGGTCATGATGCGGTCGCCCTCCTGGTAGTGTGCATAGTTGTAGTAGCAGCCCTCTGAAAAGAACATGAGATTGAACTCAAGATATCGAGATCTGGGCCGCCATCTAAGAGTCTGGGAACTAAGATGGAACAATGGCATGGCTCCTCTGCTCGCCCACTTTTCCGGCTAATAGATTCCGCTGGCATTACTTATGCATGCGGAGCACTCCTCACTGCATCCACATATATCCATATCTATATCTACTGTGTGATTTTCCTATGGATATGTGCTACTGTGTCGCCGGGGGGCGACCCCCATAAATCGGGGCTTAGCGCCAGCGGCTGTCATAATACGTGCGGCTATAGACAATTTTTATAGCTCATCAGTGTCGTTAAACAAAAGTCAACTGTCGTCGTTGTTGTCGTTAAAATATGCGCACGTCTGTCCCCAGAGTGAGTGTGTGTGCTGTCCGGTGTGTATCTGTCTCGGCTGACTGGCTGCCTAATTTAGTGACGTCCACCCGCTATAAATTCCACATCACATCATTAACACGTTAAGCGCGCCAGATCTCCCTTCCCCATGCCGCTCGTTTTGTTCGCGGCTAGACCATTTTTTTGATTGAAATCTTTGGGTCTCGGTTGGTGTTTTGGGTATGAGTATGGGTATGAGTAGGGGTATGAGTATGGGTACACTGGGTCTCGAGCCCGGCTCACGTTTGAAGCGTAACTCGTAAAGAGGCAGCGCTTATTTCTTTATGTTTCCATTTGTCTTCGCATGCGACTGACTGACTCTTCACACCTCGTCTAATGCCGCTTTATGACGGCGATTGGCTCGATAATTGGCAGCCGATTAGCGGCTATGACAACTGTTTGGCCCCCTCAACGAGCTAATTAGCTAATAGCCCCCGGAATCGATCAGTTTTGCGGGAGGAGGGGTGAATGAATACAGAGAATTAATTGGGGTTTTGATCAGTGATCACATAAGTCCTTAGCTTAAATATTCATATATCCTTTCACATATCTTATTGGTTCTATCAATAGAATCTTCTCAAACTAATTTCTTATTTAACAGCTTAGCAATGAACCAAATCTAATTTAGATAGCTTAATATCAATTCCTAGAAATTCCTATAATAACTAAGCTAGACAAATACTCAATCATCTCGATTCAATAGGCTGCCATTAGGTTACTACGAAATTATTACTCGTAAACTATAAAGTAAATAAAGTATCTTGCTGGGCAGAAGAACTACGAGCTAAGGATCTTCCATGGCAGAAAAGTAAATAGATATAGCTTCTCGGGTGCCATAAATCCTTGCGTTCCGTAAATGTAATCACCATAAAATGGATTTAAATGCACTTTTTTATTGGACTCCTGGCTCCTGAGTCCTGACTCCCGGTAACTCCTTACCAAGTCAGCCAGTTAATCAAGTTTCGATGCTCCTCCGATTTGCGACTTACCTGAATACTGTTGGATCTCCGTGTACTCCTGAACCGGGGCTGCAATGAGGAATTGTAGATGGAATGTTTATTATTTAATGAAAAGCCATGCTATTTGCTGTGGACCCATTACGGCGGGAATTTTACGATGGCCATATCCGCTGGTCCATTGCCATGACCATAATAAATTAATTTATCTATTGCCGCGAATGCCGGACTCTAATTGTGAATGCAATTGGCCAGGGGACCGGGACCGGGAACTGGGAACTGGATTTGGGAATGGGAACCCGAACCTGAACCTGAACCTGCGTAGGCTTCAGATAGCCATTTTCATTCTCTTCGGTGTGATAACAGGGTCCCAACATCCATCCACAGCTACCAAATTGCAATAGCTTTGTCTGCCGGCAACGTGTTATTACCACATAATCAAAATGCAGCCGAAGAGCAGCAGCAACAGCAGCAACATCCAGCTTGTGGCTCCACTAAATCCCAGAAAAATGGCACGTAGTCCGCCGCCGCCGCCGTTCTGGGACACCACACGCAGCCTAGCTCTACCCCTTCGTGGCTCAAAACAAATTGTCCAAAGCTGACAGTTGGCCAGAAGGAGAACCCAAGACCAGTTGCTGCTGCTGCTGCTGCAGAGCCACTTGTTGCTGCCACAAATGATTTGACAAATTGCAGCTTTATGAATTGCCGAGACTTTGATAAATTGCGTCCAGTTGAAGGGTTGACAATTTCTGGAATATTTCACATTTTAATTTCCGCATAGTTACCTGGGGGGGCCTTCGCCTCTCGATGACTTGGCCATTTAATTGGGAGTCGGAGTGAGTAGCCGCCAGGGGGGAGGCTGAACCCATACAATTTGGCAAACAAATTGCTGGCAACAATGAGAAAAATCCTAACGGCAAGTGCTCATAAGCATGAATTTGGCCCAGGTTTCTCTGGGCCTGGCCACAAATCAGAGTAGCAATTTCGATCCGGAGTTGGAGCCGGAGCAGGAGCTGCGGATGGACCCGCTCCCTCTCTCTCTCACTCGAAGCTAACGGATGTAAATTACATTTTATGCGGTAAGAACAACAACACGACCCGAACCTGGCAACGCATAAAAATTCACACATTAACTGTTAAGGATTGCCGCCGGGGCAGCAGGGCAGCGGGAGCCATCTCTACTTGACTCTAGAGCCTTGGACTTGGACTGGGACTTGGACTGGGGACCGCGACTGGGGACCTGGCAATGGGAGTCAATCATGTGGCCGGTTCCCGAAGCGAAGCGAAACTTATGCAACCATTTCTGCCTTGTGCAAGTGCAACAACTAAAACAAGCCACATGCATCATCATCATCATCATCATCATCATCATTGCCCCAGCCGGATGATCATGATGATGACGATGATGGTACACATCAAACATGGTCGTGTCGGTCCAACAAACAGAAGTCAGTCAGTCAGTTAGTCAGCCAAGTTGCTGCTGCATGTTGCTGGTTGCATCTTGGTGTTGATGTGGCTCTGGCTGTGGCTTCGTGGCCCAAGTTGTTGGCGGCTCTCGGCCAAGTCGTGCATTTTGTTTATTCTAGGAAAGCGCGCGCGCACCGCCTTCGCTCCTCGCTCCTCGCTCCTCCTCCTTCACCGCCACCACCACCTGACCATGGACCATGGCCATGGGTTTTCTGGCTGCCGCCGCCGCTACAACAAGTTGAATGACCCGGCGCGCATGTGTGCAAAAATGTGTACACAAACCATAAACTACAAGCCACAAGCACTGGCAGCCTTACTTACATAAGTAGGCCTAGGTGCTCCGCCTGGGATTCGGATTGGGATTGGGATTGGGACTGGGACTAAGGCTGGCCAACTCGTGGTCCCATGGACATGGAGACGGAGACCCAGAACCCAGAACCCAGGCACGCCTTTTGCTGGTTACGCTTTATTATTTAGTGCTGTAGGTGGACTCGCCGCCAGGCACAGATGCGAAAAAGTGGAAGTTTTCCTAAATATTCTCAATGCACAGAAAGAAAATTAAACATAAAACCTGAATTAAACATTATTAGAATGTTTTCAGAGCCAGAAAGTACTAAAACTCTTTAAAGCTCAATTAAAGAAGAAAACCTCTTTGAAATCTCTTAAGTTATCCCAGTAATACACCCACATTTTCTCTCTGTGTATTGGCTATATCCCATCTTCGGTTCTTGGGGACCTTTGGGAGCCTCTATGCGGAAACGCGGCGAGTGAAAATATTTGCCATGCCACAAATATTTCAAAGATTACAAAATAAACACAAATCTTCGCCGGCTTGTTGGTTGTCCCCAAATGCGTTGTCGTTGGCTTTTATTTTCCTTATTTTTTATTTTTCCTAGTTTCTTCTCCTTTTTTTTACCGCTATTTGCAGCTGCAACATCGGCAACTTGTTGACCACACCCACCCGGGCCTTACTGCAATTTCTCACTCCGCCTTTGGTGGCAATGGCAGAGGCAGGGTTCCCTCCGATGCTGCTGCGTTTATCTAGCTTCTAATTAGATGCAGCCCAAAAAAAATAAGGAGGAGAACATAGAAACAATGCCCCCGGGAGAGTAGCAATAAATCGATCTGTAATTGCCTTCTGCCTCTCCGCATGCAAATTTCCAGCCCAGCCGTCGAACAGAAACAATTTCCATTTCCCCCCGGCCTTGATCACATAATTTCCATAATGCCGAGCAGATCAATATGGAGTGAGCCGAGAGTCCCGGGCCTCAGCCGTATCATCTCCATGCATCACCGCTGCTGAAAGCAGCCGCCAGGCAGCAGCCGCAACTAGCAACATCTATCCAACTAGGAACTACTTGCAACACGGCGCCCTAACAATGCAACTGCAACTGCAACTGGAAGCGGCGGCGGAGGCCGCACAGCAAATGAATTTGCGAGTAATTTAACATGATTATGTCGGCGACCAAGTAGCAATGTAGACATCGAAGCAGGAGCTCCTGCTGATGCTGCTGATGCTGTTGCTGCTGCTCCTCGATTGCGGCCAAATTGGACGCAGTTGCGCAAGGCTAGGGCGCTACCTTGGCGTGACGCTGTGTTTTATTACAGAACCCGTGGAGAAGGAGAATAAGGAGGAGTAGGAGGAGGAAGGTAGTACGGCCTAGACCATGATTCCTATGCCTTCTAAGTAAATTATGCCCGATGGTCATGATGATGCCGATGCCAATGCCAATGCCGATGCCTATGCCGGGTATGGAGGCTGCCAAGGAGATGAGGCTGCCATGAAATTGCAGCAAGCCCGAGTTGCATATGAAACAATTACCAAGGCTAAGGTCTAGGCCTATTCCGCCTGTCTATATCGGGACATTGTAATTGCTGGCAGACCAAGGAGCTGGAGCTGTGCCCAGAGCTCGGTTCCATCTCATATGCATATTTATGGCCTATGTCATTAGAGAGTCAGTGTCTGTTTGTCAGTTTGTCAGGTCAGGGAATGGAACTACTACTATCCATGAGGAGTCCTGACTGCTTAATAGATAATAATGAGCCTGGGCCTGGCCTTGAGGCGCTGTAATTAAGCAGTTAAGGGTGGAGTCCAAAACGGATGGCCCAGCATTCTTTCCCACAGTTTGTGATGCTCCTGGGGGCCCTAGACTAGACTCAAGTGTCCTGTCTTTGATTTGTTTTGATGTCTTTTGCATGGCTTTAATGAGTGCTACCTCTTCGCAGTACCATATTCCTCCTCCTTCTCCTCCATCACCGTTCCGTGCCAGCAATCAATCTGTCCGGCTGTCAGTATTCTGTATTCCCCCCAGTATCCACAGCTAATCACAGCCTTGGAACCAGTCTGCAGAGGATCTCCTCTTCCCTCTCTCTGAGTTTGCGAGCAAATATATCATAATTTTTGTTTGCGCAATTTTAGACAAATTCTTAAGGCACACCGAACGGGGCTGGAACGGGAATGGATGGATGGTTGGATGGTTGGATGGACAGTTGGGTGGAGAAAGCATTCAATTATTACACCGCTAGCTGTTATTGATAACAGCGCATTGATTACAGCAATTGCCGAAATAACATAGAAGCTACGCCTCGACCAACGGCAGATTCAGATACAGATTGCTCCCGAGCTGGGGATGGAGCTGGGAGCTGGGACTCGAAGCTGGTTCATCTGACAGGTGATGGATGCCCGGCAATCAACTGCACAGCAAAAAAGAAACTCAAGCAATGAAGAAGGATGGGAAACTATATGTTTTAGCTGTATAAATAATACATAATAACAATCAAATGCTATATTGCACACAGCTGTGGAAGAGGGTAACCTTAACACAGGTGGGGGAGATTCCCAGAAAGTGAATTTTAAATAGAAGAATAATAGAATCGAGTTAGGTAACATTTTCTAGGTTTTGTTGGGCATTAGAATAACTGAAAGAACTTTTCTTCTTGTGTACAAACAACTAGATCTCCCCCTGCGCATGCGTAACTGTTTAGTAATTTGCACCGGAAAAAGTCTCACGTTCGATGTCCTGACTTAAGAAACCCGAACCGTGGACCGCGGCGGACCGCGATTCAATTAAGTGGCACTCTCCGAGCGCTAATTGCTCGCTGACTTTTGTTTCCCGTTGCTGTCTCCCTCATCCGATCCGTATCTGGTATCTAACATTCGCCAGAGGCACCAAAATGCTCTCTAGGTGCTGGATGGTGGTGTATCTGGGATCTCTGGTATCTCCTCCCACGCTGGCATGGCATTTAGCTAATGATCGGACACCGGAGATAGGGCACAGAATGTGCTGTAGCTGGAGCTGGAGCTGGAGCTGGTGCTGCGTGTTCTGTCCCGAAGCTAGAGCCAGAAAGCCATAAAACCCAATGGCCCAGCTCGCTAGCACGGGCACTCCATACATCATGTGCAAGAAGATCAGCAAAGCGATAATTATACAAAGTATTAGTTCAAGCGAGAGAGCGTCTGACTTGGCATGACCCGTACCCGTACCCATACCCGTACCTGTGTGCCCGTCTCCAAGATCCGGAGCTGGTGAGCCTGGTCTGAGTCTGGTCTCCGCTGAGGTTGCCATGCGTAAAGGTGCCAGCCGGCAAAAAAGAGAGTTGATTGA